TTTCTCTTTCTTAATGATTTTTAAAAGATCTTTRTATAGAACAGATTAATCTGATGTACACATTACAAATGCACTAGAAGTCAATTGATGGGATTTTTTCATAAAGTCGTTGTGGGGCCAGATGCAGTGGTACATGCCTGCAATCCCAGGAGCTCTAGAGGCTGAATCAGGAGGATCRTGAGTTCAAAGCCACCCTCAGCAACTTAGTGAGGCTCTAAGCAACTCAGCAAGRTCCTATCTCTAAATAGAATATTAAAAAGGACTAAGGATGTGGCTCAATGRCTAAGCACCCCTGGGTTCAATCCTCAGTACCACCCCCCCAAAAAAAGCCACCATGGGGACATACACTAAAGGCCTTCCTTATCACATCGCAGGGTGCCAAAATATCCTCATGTTTTCTCCTGCTGCTTTTATACTTCTATGTTGCGCATTTCTTTCATTAGTTCACTTTTATATGTGGTAAGAGGCAGGCATTTCACTTGACTTGGTTTTATGGATGGACACTCAGACTACACTTGCTATTTCTGATCTCAGGCCATATGGCACATGCCTGTGAGCAATTAAATTCCCCTTCCTAGAGAATTTACAACCTTTGGTAAGATAAACCCTGAAAGGGAATACCTGCCTGTTCTGAATGGCAAAGCTTTGCTTCTGATGCAGCCAGGCAGGCCAATCAGTGGAGTGCCTGAAGTGGCCTAGCTGAGCATCATCSAGGAAGCTCCATCCTCTAGATGCCTTGAGCCTGGCCCAGGTCTAGCTCAGGAACTGGGCAGCTGGCTGACCTTTTAAGCTGGCGCTCAGTGTTTCCCATCTTATTTAGCACCTCAGTCCTGTCAATGCCTGGAAAGAGTGAGAGCTGATAGGCTCCTGATGCTCTAAACACTATCTCTTGCGCTTGATTTTACAGCCTGAGGGACACTCTAATGAGTTACATGGAAACCAAAGAGAATGAAGTTCTTCTGGAAGTGGAATCCCAGTTCCCAGAAGAGATACTGCTGTCCAACTGTGTCTCTGTGTGGAAAGTGGCAGCTATACGGAAACAGGACAGGCAAGCAAAATAGGATCCTCCACTCCATCTCTTGATGTGCTGCAGACACAGCTCCCCTCCCCTCCACTGTGCCTCTGGGAGCACCTGGAAGGAAAGTGTTGGCACAGCACTGAATTCAAGGCCAGCAT